AGGATTTCTTCCCTTTGTGGCGTCAGTTCCTTGTTTACGAATAAAAAAGGATTGATATATACTGTTCATAGGTAAAATTCATCTGTTCTAGAATAGTTTTTACATGGTAGGGCATATTTACATTTTCAAGTTGTTTTGGTGAAGTTACTCTCTTAGTCATTTTTATTTTCAACAACTGCAATTGTTTTTTGCATAGTCATTTCTGTTACTAGCGGATTCTGTCCAAGAACGAGTAGTTGTGCATATCTTCTTTTCCCATTAAATTACAATGCAAACACCGCTCTCTGCAGGTTTCGAGTTTAAAACAAAGCCACGTAAATGTGGTACCTATACTCTACATATGATGTTGTGGGGAAATAGTTTTTTAATTTGGATATTTAAAGATGCGCGTACTCTTCCTCTATGAACGAGACTCCATCCAAATCTTCCATTCCTTGGGCGAGGCCTTCTGTTCTATGAACACCCCACCACTGAATAATTTACTTTCAAGTTCTCGCTGTAAATACCTGGCCGTAATATTAGGGAAAAAAACTTTTATTAAGAAGAGGTAATAGAGGGCATAAATTAATAATCAACTGCAGTAGACTGAAGCAACTGTAATTGTTTAATGTGTAAATTTTCTGGAGTTCATTATGCAAGGTTAATTTTTTTCATAGAGTTAAGTCATCTGGAGTTTTATGTTACCTTCTCAAAAAAGTCATCTGGAGTTTTGTTTTGCACTGTTTTAGGTTTGATGGTGTAAGTATCTCACAGTTGACAATGATAAAAACCATGAGCTTGTACTAAGTTTGATGCATTTTGCTTAAAACCTTGTTAACTGAATGTTAAGGACCAAAATATGAAATTTCAATACTATGCCTGCAAGTCACAAAAATGAATGTGAAAATGCTCTCAGGCACAGTTATCGAGGTCAAAAAAGACTACTTTCTTTTCCAGCCATTTTTAAAGTTTCCGGCGTCTTTACAGTTATTCGTTAATTACATTCATCAGTGATTACTACAAAAATTGGTAATAGGAGATACTGTGCTTTGTTTTACAGGATCTACTTGTGGAATTAGTAGTGTTAGTCTTGAAAATCAAATTAAGGAAATCAGCTAGTCTTAATTTCCCACTTATTTAGGGTAAAAAATAAAATATAATAGTGGAAGCTTAAATATGTGTTCACAACTTTAATTTTCACACCATAGTTAGATATTACAGAAAAAAGTAATTTTTCTCCTAATTGAGATTTGGAAAAAAAAAAGCCTTCCTTTTCCTAATTATATTCGGTCACATACGTATAGTTTAGGATTTCCTAATTTGACATGAACTCTCTTTTTTTCTTAATTTGACATTAACTTTTTTTTTTTTTTTTTTCGTTTTGACTTCCTACTTCAACTAGAACCGTGAAAACCTAATACTCTATAAATTAAGCCCTTCAAACCTCTCATGCATTATAATTCTTCAAATCTCCTTTCAATAAAATTCTCAACAAAAACAAATTAACATCTCTTATTCAAATATATATTGACCATCATGTCTTCTTCCACAAAGTTCTTAAAGTTAAAGACTTGCGATGGTAAGGAATTTGTACTCGAAGAGGCGATAGCCGTGAGGTCACAAACTATCAAGAATATGGTTGAAGACGATTGTGTTTCAAACGTCATTCCCCTGCCTAATGTCAATAGCAAAACAATGACCAAAGTGATTGAATATTGGAAGAAACATTCGGAGGAAGACGTCTCCAAAGACATGTTGATGGAGTTTGACAAGGCTTTTGTGAAGGTGCACCACTCGATTTTGTATGCTCTTATCTTAGCTGCTAATTTTCTTAACGATAAGGAGATATTGGATATGATGTGTCAAGAAGTTGCTGATAGGATTAAAGGGAAAACACCAGAAGAGATACGTAAAGAATTTGATATCAAGAACGATTTTACTCCAGAGGAGGAAGAGGAGATCCGTAAAGAGAATGCTTGGGCTTTTGAATGATTACATTGCTGTTATTTTTTTGTTTTTTTTTTTAATTTTAGAATTAAAACAGTCTAGTTAGCTATATCTTATTTTATTTTATTTAGTTCTATATTCTGTTGTTTATTTTTATAGAATTGTTCTTTGATTTTTGATTGATTTATAAATTAGATTGAAAAGAAATTATAGCTATGTATACAAACAACTTAGTGATTGAAAATAGAGTTTAACTATTGAAACAGATTATTGATTATGCTATAAAAAACAAATAAAATATCTATTAGCTAAAATTTTACCTAACCACTAAATTAATAGCTCTTGCTCTCTCACTGTTACGAGAAAATTAAATTGAATATTGATCAAGATTCGGATTGCAAAAAAATGCTTTTGATGGATTTTTTTAAAAAGATAATTAAGAAATATATATTGAGATACTCAAAAAAATAAATTAAGAAATAAATATTGAGATAATCAAACAGGATAGAAATAATCTATCTCAATCCCAATTATAAAATAAAATATTAGAGTATAAACCACATATATGTGGCATTATCTGAAAGAAGAAAAAAAAAGGTAAGTATATATAAAAATAAAATGAAGAAGATTTTGAATTCTAGACGATGATGATGATGGAATTCTCCCTTATAATGCGTAAGGCTTTCTTTTTTTCAATTGATTTGTAAATTTTTAAAAGTTTTCAAAAATTTAAATAAAGCCTTAAACGAAAAATTACTCTTTTTTTTAGTTTTATCGACTTAAATTGAATATATGTAGAATATATCAAAATAATTATTTAATCTTATTTTCTTAAACACTTTATGTGAAAAATTAAAGTTAAAGAAATGCTAAAAAGTTAAAAGTCATCTTTTATACGTGAGATTGACCGAAAAATGGGATACTTTTACCACTTTTAAATTAGTCAAGAAGATATTAGGATCTTTGCAAAATTTCAGTGTCTTTTAAGAAATGTGTTATAATTGAATGGGGTAATGATGTACTTTTCTCTCTAAATTATAAGACCTAGAATAGTCTCTCCACTTATATCGTTCATGTTGGGATGACAATTAACATACAAACAAAATAATAGGGAAACTTCATCAATTCCCCCTTGAACTTGTCCCGAAAAGTCAGTTACACGCTTAAATTATCATAGTGACCTATTACACACTTATACTACTCAAAAGTAAATTTTCTTACCCCTGAAAACTAATATGGCAAAAAAAAATAAAAAAAAATAAATAGGTGCGTCAGTTTGAAATTAAAGTGAAAAAAAAGAAGTTAGAATCTTCTTTTCCACCCCCACCCCCACACCTCTTCTTCTTCACACCCCACCCATTGTCCTCTTTTTCTTCATTCTTTATTTTCATCACACTTCTTTAATTTTTTTTATCACAATCTTAAAGCACAACTGTTTTTTATTCGCAATAAGGTTAATTCACATAGATTTGTTAGTTTATAATTGTATTTTATCTAGAAAAGTTTCAGTTGTTTGTTTCTATCTTTGTCATTTTTTTGACTTTGTTAAAGAAATGTTTGTCGTTGATCAATTTTTGGGTTTAGTGGTGATAGCAACTTTATGTGCTTGGTGGTGATGGGTGGTGGGTGACAAAAATTTAAAGAGGTAATTGAAGATGGTGATGGAGAAAAAAACGATATTAATAATGGTGGTGGTGATATTTGGTATTGGGTGACAGAGAAGAAGAAGAATTGAATGTGATATAGTAGTGGTGAAGAACAAAATCAATAGTGAAGGTGGTCGAATATGATTTTTCCGATGAAATGAGAATTGAAATGGGTGTGATTTAGTGATGAAGAAGATATAATTATTAGAGAATTAAAGTAATTAATTAGGAATTAATTAGAGTAAAATATATTTAACAAAAGAAAATTTAATTAATAAAGAAAAGAAAAAATTATAATTTATGACATGGCGCTGATGTGGCAAGTGTAATACACCACATAATGTTAGAGTGGTATTACACGTCTCAAGGTGGTGATAAATTCAGTTTTGAGTATTAAAGGTGTGTAATAGGTCATTGTAATAGTTTAAGCGTGTAACTGACTTTTCGGGACAAGTTCAGGGGGAAATCTATGCCTTTCCCCCAAAATAATATGATGAATGTTACTTCCTCCGTCTCATATTAAATATTAAACTTTTCTCTTTACACGTCTTTATAAAAAAAAATCATAAATAAGAAAATTAGTTTTATTAATTTACCTTTCAAGAAATTTGTTGGAGACTTTACAAACTTGTTTACCCTTTCGAAAAGAATTAATTGTCAAAGTAAAATGGGAGAAATTTAATTAATTTATCTTAATAAGTAATTTAGGAAAACTATTTTTAATAATGTGGACAAGTATACTAGAAGAATACTAGATTAATTAATTATTTTAATTTTTTCTTTACTTTTGTTGGAAATGTAGTCAGAACGATTTTAACTATTAGAAATGACTGGTCTTCTAGTTAATGATTAAAGAAACGATGAGAACTTTCTTTGTAACTTTGAAGGCATAATACATAAATATGCCATTTAACTTGGCTTCAAATCACATTTATGTCCTTCAACTTTGGGTATGCACAAGTAGACATTTAAATTTGTATAAAGTTGAACAAATAGACACGCATGTCCTACATGACATCCTACATGTCATTTTTTATCCTACGTGGTGTCCTACGTGTATTGTTTGATGTAGGACAAATATGTCTACTTATTCAACTTTATACAAGTTTAAGTGTCTACTTGTGCATACCCAAAGTTGAAGGACATAAACATAAAATGAGGCCAAGTTAAAGGGCACATTTATGTATTATGCCAACTTTTAATCATATCAATATCCTAATAATCTAAGATTGACTATGTAGATTTTGTAAAACAAATTAATTGACCTTCAAAAAAGGAAAAAATAATAAGTTTTGGTTTATTTAATATTTTGCTTTTCATATTCCTACAAGAACTTTGGAAAGTAATTAAAACCTAATACATTATAAAAGACCAAGCTAGCCTCATGTATTGAAATCATTCATTCATAGCTCTCTTCATTTCTTTATGATGTCTTTAGGAAAGCTCATAACTCTTAAGACTAACGATAATGAGGAATTCAAACTCGACAAGACTGTAGCTGTAAAGTTAGAAATCATCAAGAACATAGTACAAGATGTTGATTGTACTTCTAATGTCATCCCCTTGCCCAATATTGATGGCAAAACAATGACAAAGGTGGTTAAATATTGGAAGAAACATTCGGAGGAAGGTGTTACAGAAGTCCAATTAAAGAATTTTGATCAGGATTTCTTGAAGATGAGTCACTCAGAATTACATGACGTTCACTTGGCTGCTAAATATCTTGATGATAACCAATTAAAGGAGGTAATAATCCAAGAATTTCTTGATAGGATCAAAGGGAAACCAATAGAGGAAATACGTGAAGTATTTGGTATCGTGAATGATTATACTCCAGAGGAAGAGGAGGAGGTCCGTAGAGAGAATGCTTGGGCTTTTGAATGATTTTATAATATTTATGCAAATTCCTTAGCTATATTCTATTTTTATTTTATTTATGTTCTATCTTTTGATGTTCCTTTTTGAAGGAAATGTTGTTTGATTTTGATTGATTTATAAATTATGTTGGAAAGAAATTAAAGCTAGTTATATTCTTTGAGATTTCTTTTTTATCCTTTTAGATTTACTATTCACTCAAATCTTCTCTAAATAATTCTAAATTATATATATGGGCAACTTTCGATGTTTTAATTCTTTTAATATATTGTATATTCACTATAAATGACTAATTCACATTTGCGACAGATCAAATTTTGAATTTGAGGTTCAAAATGTTTTAATGACAGATTTCAATGGACATTCGATTTTAATCTCCACTAAAAAATCCTAAAATTTAGATTACATGATCTCCTCTCAATATTTCTATTCTTTTAGATACATTATTCACTCAAAATAATTCATGTGTGTGGCGATATCAAATTTTATTATTTGAACTTACCCAAGTGTCGGAGAAGATATGAGTAGACATAGACATAATTAGTTAATGATCAAATGATCTTTCTATTGATTACTTAATGATCAAGTATAGATTCTTGGTAATTAACAGTTAATTGGGTTATTTTTTATTAGAACATTTGACTAAATGGTCATTCTATTTAATTATATTCAAATTTACTATGATTAGTAATAACATACCATTTAATTTAAAATATAAAATTTAAATTTGAATTGCAATACAATCTTTTGTTGTTGAAAGATAATAATATATAACTTTTAAGTTTCACCTCTAAATTATAAGACCTAGAATAATTTCTCCACTTAAATCGTTCATGTTGTGAGGATAATTAACAATAACATACAAATAAAAATGATATGACGAATCGTCTCATATTAAATATTAGACTTTTCTCTTTTAAAATAAATCATAAATAAGAAAATTTATTTTACTAATATACCCTTTAAGAAACTTGCTTACAACTACAAGCTCGTATACTCTTTTTTAAAGAATTAATTGTAAGATTAAAACGGGGAATTGTGAAAGAGCTCTCTTCGTTAAATCTTCCGCTATCTGTCTTTTTTCACTCCCCAATTTCTTCTCTCCGCTTTTACCGTAAGTTCGCTATATCTCATCCTCTTTGATTTCATTTCTGTGATTTCTATTCAATTTGCTTCATCTTGATTTTGATTTGCATTTTTCTTCAATTACTTTGAAACCAGGTTTTTCTGGAGTTGCAGATTTTGATTTTGTTTGATATTTTCGTTTCTCAATGCACAATTCATTTGTCTTGATATCTCACTTGGCACTATCAAAATTGTTACTTATATACTTTCATGGCTCATCAATGATTTAACTAACAATTTGATTGTTTGGTTTTGAATTTGACACTGAGTTTAAGAAAATAAAGAGATTTTTTAATGTTGTGGCAAACTAAAGATATGTACGAAAATGTCATTTAATCTTGTGTGTGGGAAGCTCCAAAAAGGAACTTGAAACTAAATAGGAAAATAACACAAACAAATAGAAGTGGAGGGGTACAGGTTTTTGTTAATTTTTCATCTTTTGCGAGTTACAGTCTCATTAGTGGATAAAGCTTAAAATTTAAGATGTGGCTTTATTCCTCTTACTGGAAAGGTTAAGATTAAGAGTTATTGGAATTTTAGTGCATGGGAAAATTGTGATTTCTTTTAAGTTATGTGAAAACTCTTTATCAGCAGGTCCACTTTCTGGCTTGTATATTCTTGAATTTCATTTTTCTTGGGAAGTTGGCAAGAATGTTCATCATTAGCTTAATCCTTGCAGAGGAAACCATTTCACTCGCAAGTAGCTCCAACTTACTGCTCTAACAAGGTTAAGGGTTATTTTACTCGTTATATGGCTTCCTCAACGGTTGGGGCACAACCATCATTCTCAACACTAGCAATATCAACCAACGAACCTGTTGTTTCAGTTGACTGGCTCCATGCAAACATCAGAGACCCCGACTTAAAGGTTTATGATCTTTTCAGTCTTAGCAGTCAAAACACTTGGTAAAGAATAAACTGGTGATAGTATGGCCGTTACTACAATTGTCTAAACTACATTTGCTGCTCTAAATATTAAATCTGAAGTTGCAATTATTTGTTCACTCAACTCATGCCTATAAAAAGGACAATTCTTTTGCGTTTCTGTTCATTTCTATTTAGCAACACATTTACACGTGTTTTCTTTCTCTTCCAATTTTTGGGTGTGGTGCTGGTTGTATTATGTAAGGCATCTGTCAAATAGTACTGTGATGTTGCTTCTTTTTCCTATTCTTCTAAAGGTGTTAGATGCATCTTGGTACATGCCAGATGAGCAGAGAAATCCACTCCAGGAGTATCAGGTGCTGACTCCTAAGAAATTCTTTTTTGAATGACAGTGCTTTATCTTGAATCACTGATTGCTTTCTAGTAAATATGTTCACAGATAAGCAATTTTCATTTTCTCAGTCACTTTTATTGTAATTTTGTTCAACAGTCACTTTCTTTCTGTTTTTCTGGTAGAATTTTCTAACTTCGACTTGAGCAGGTCGCTTGCATTCCTGGAGCACTATTCTTTGATATAGACGGAATAACGGATCGAACTACAAATGTGAGATATCTTCCCTGCTAAGTTATTTCTCCTCTGGAAAGAGTGATTTGCTCGACATAATCTTTGCAAATTACTAAACCTTCTCTGGTTTCAGTTTCTCTTCTACTGTACCATTTTTTGTTTCATTTTTGTCCCATATATGTTTCTACCTATACTGTAATAGATGCTTCAGTTAGCCATCCGGCATGCTTTTGAGATAGATTTCATCACCTTTTATGATAGAAAAGCTTTGTTGATTTATCAGTTGCCACATATGTTGCCGGCCGAAGAAGCATTTGCAGCTGCTGTATCTGCTCTTGGTATCGAGAACAAAGATGGGGTTGTTGTATACGATGGCAAGGGCATTTTCAGTGCTGCCCGTGTTTGGTGGTGAGTTATTCAATTGATGATAAAAGGCGGATAAGTTCATATCATCCAAAAGTGTCTAATCAATGGAAAATGGGTAATCAGGATGTTTCGAACTTTTGGACATGACAAAGTTTGGGTTTTGGATGGTGGCTTGCCAAGATGGCGTGCTTCAGGTTATGATGTCGAGTCAACTGCACCCGGTGATGCCATTCTGAAATCTAGTGCTGCCACTGAGGCAATTGAGAAAGTATACCAAGGACAGATGGTAAGATAAACATTTCTCCATTTCCTTTAGCTCACTATGCTTGTAGCCTTGTACATCTTTAAACAAAACAAGATTCCACAAGAACAGCACCTTTTGTAGCAATAGGCTGAGGTTCTCTGAGTTTTATTGTCTTCTCGGGACTTTTGCTGCATCATTCCAAATAATGTTTAAGTAGTGACTATGTTGGGGCTTCTTGAATATCCGGAGGGCTCCACAGACAATAGCATCTTGTTCATGTGTAACCGTTCATTATGTAAGGGATGGGCAACTTTTGTTTGAAACTCAAGTCAGACTATCTTTTAAGATTCTTTTTCTCCTTAACCGATTTAAGAAACAGTTCTCTCATTGTGTTACTCAAATGAAAATCTATCCTTTTTATAAGTAAATTTACTGAAAAGTGAAAACGGTACTCAGGTGATACAAAAATTACAGAGATGGACTTAAGAACTCCTAGTATATGCTTAAAGAGTCAATCAAGTCCATCATATTTCCTTGCTCCTTAATTGTATCCCCTTTGTTCCAAAAATACAAGTATTAAAGACAACTATACTTCACAAAAGTTTCAAGGAACTAAAATTGTCTTCCATAGGATGAAGTGAATAATTTGATGTTTGACAAGTTCCCATTTCCTTAATTCTTTGTTTTATTGGGGATGTATATGATGTAAATACCTTTTCAATCACTCTTTGTCCACTTGGAATTTATGAATATAAAGTTGAAACACCAGTTTTTCTTGCCGTGTAGAACTTTTCGGTACATTTTCTTTCTCCCTCTCTTCGTATTTTCTGACGTTGTGCATTTAATGTTATATTGTTTTAATGTTTCTCTTAGAACTTTTAATGTGCAGGTTGGACCTACTACCTTCCAGACCAAGTTTCAGCCTCATCTTGTGTGGACTCTTGATCAGGTTGGTTTCCTTGATTGCTTTCTTCCTACAGCACTTGGTGGTAGTTGCACCTAGCCATGTATCATGAAGCTGATGGTAATGGCAAGGACTTTTTTTGGATTATTGACATTCAGGCTGTATTCAAAATCCAACTGCTTAAAATTAGAGTAATTTTTTTTAGAGAAAGGTAAGAGTAGTATTATAAAGTCTCCAGCACAAAGACTATGCTAGGAACAATATTTACTGTTCAAAAAGCAAAACAAAAGGTAAAACATGAACGGAACTACAAGTGGACTGCAATTTAGTGGGTATTAGATTGTAAGCTTGTTGGTTGATATTTGTTACCCTTAGGGGTCGTTTGGTAGAGTGTATTAGCAAAAATAATGCATGCATTAATCATATAATATTAGTAGTCCCTTGTTTGGTACATTTTTTCATGCTATGTATAACTAATGCTTGCATTGGTTATACACTCTATTGTGTATTGAGGAGTGGATTACTAATACCATGGATTTCTAGGTATTAGTAATGCAAAGGATTTAATACATGCATTTATATGGTTAAAGACTCAATTGCCCCCGAAAAGTACTTTTACATCTTTTCCACCATAATTGTGAAGGATACTTTTGTAAATAAATATTTTTATACAATGCATACTATTTTTAATACACCAAACCAAACAATGCATAAGAATTAATCTATATATAACTAGTACAAGTATAACTAATACTCGCATTACTAATGCAAGCATTACTAATACACTCTATTGGGTATTATTTTTATACACTCTACCAAACGACCCCTTAGTGCAACTTTGTTCTGCAAAAATCTACCTCCGTTTCCCTGATTGACTGGTACAACCCCATGAAGTTTGTGAAGAAAATCTAGGAGGACTA